CCCCAGACACACACTCTTTTGACAGTTCCCCTTGTGAGAGGAAAAGAAATCAGCTTCCTCTAGTGTATCTCAAAACATTTTTTTTTTAAAGAAGAAATATGAGGGTATAACATTTCCTGAAGAGAGTCGGGCCGAGCTTTTTTCTTAGCCTTCGTGTCCATTGGGACAGACACAGCTCAATTTTCTGTCGGGAGGAGGAAAATCGGTCGGGTCGTTTCCATCTTGTGTGTCCACCATAGATGTTGGGGGTAACTCTATGGTGTCCACACACATGCGGGTAACTTGAGAACGACAGATGTACGCCATTGGCCGATATTTATTGTAACAGCCATCTTGTATGACGTCATTTAGGGATTCCCACTTTGTTGTCGTTCACGGTGACAACACGACCACAAAGCACTAGTGCAGTATTTTTAAAACCCTTAGCTCACAGTGGCGTGGTGGCGGAGTGGTTAGTGCGTTTATCTCCAAAGCTGAAAGTCCAGGTTCGTGCCCCTTATGCTCACCCATCTGTAATAGGTACCTGACTTCGAGTTGGGGAAGTAAAGGACTAATTTATTTGTTTTTTAGTTCGGGAAAGACACGTCTAGTCTGTAGGCCTACTTGTTCCCCGGATTTGTACGCTAGACCGCTGTCGTGGCGGGCTGTGTACTCGGTACGGGGCTATAAATAGTCAAGTGGTCACATTAACCAAAGGCGGGAAAAAAGAAATGTATAATCATCTGTTTTAAAAGAAAATTGGTAAAATTGTAAATGTGCATTTAAACCACGTGGTTTGCGAGATGACTTTGCTAATTGTGAGGTGCTGATTACGAACATAACATGAGATTTTTAATCCAAACTCAAAATTAGAATTTTTTTTAGCTCCCGCGGGGCCTATGGCTCATGGGTCACCCCCGGCCAGGCTAAAATTGAGCAATCGGCTTTCCAACCGACACATCTTTTTTCGGACGTGTCGTTTTGTCTCTGTTGACTCAGCCAAACGGAATTTTCACTGATTTCTTAGGGGAAAAAATCGTTCTTCATTTCAATTACCGACTTTCCTTGAGACGGACGGAATGGGGTCGTTCGGTTTCTGTCCCAATGGACACAAGCCCTTACACGTATACTGATATTGTGTAAATGAGACAAACTGATAAAAGAGAGAGGGCGCAGCTCGATAAAAATTGGTGCCGTCTGTCAAAAGTCATCCGTAAAAAAGCGGGACCCTATTCTTCTCCTTCTTCTTCATATTAATATTATTATCATTATCATTATTATTATTATTGCTATTATGGTTATTATTATTAGTATTATCATCATCATTGTTATTGTTGTTGTTCGTATTATTATCATTATTATTGTTATTATTGTTATTAATGTTATTATTATTATTATTATTATTATTATTATTATTATTATTATTACTAGACACAGACCCGTTCTACGAAAGGTGATGCAGTGATAGGAAAGCCCAAGACAAAATGTTTGTACCGGTACCTGATTCATTGCCGTAGGACCTCTGTCTAGACAACATTGCTGGTATATGCGTCATCTGGAACTCCGTCGTTCTCAACAGGTGTGTTTGCATGTATCCTAATAGATTCCCTGGACCAAACACGACTCATTGCGAAATATAATTGTCCATGGGAAAAAATCGCCCTGTAAAGAAACCCCTATCCTTTTCAAAGTCTGTCCTGAGCTTAGGTGATAGTCATTGCAAAATGAAAGCATGTCTAACCGAAATTGTGTCCGTCGCATATGGAAGGGAAATATTATTATGTTGTCTGAAGGCATGAGGGGAATCCTTGGGATGAAAAGTCTCTTTCCTGCATATGGACCGCAAGCAACGACAGCATCAATGACATGTTGCTGAAGGTTTTGAACCACATATCGAGTCCCGTTGCAGTGGCCGTTTGCAGGATCCAGATTTCTCAACAACATGACCATGCTGTCTTTCCGCAATGTCAGTTTGTGAGGTGGCATACCTGACGGACATAGAGAATTGATAAATTCGATCTGGTATTGGTGTTCATTTTCGTCCATCGAATCACTGCTCCTGCAGACTTTTTCTTCTCCGGAAAAGGACTGCATGATCGGGTTGTTAATTCTGTCTACTTCTGTGTTGGTGGGACAGATGATGCAGCGGAAAGCCAGCCAGTCAGGATTTGTGTTAGACTGCAAGTTACCGAAGACAAAATTTATCAACACTCGTTCACTCTTTAGTGTGATGTCATCTGGCAGTTTTATCGCAAACTCCCCGATTTGCTTGCATACGTTGTGTTTGCCATCACCAATGTTCAGTAGATTGTTGGAGAAATCAGCAGTCTCACCTGTAAGCGAAACCCTCGTGTTTCTTGTCAGTCTCAGCATATTAACATGCTCCCACAGATATGACGATTTCAGCGTTGCATTGACTACCTGTGATCTTGAGCCATGGCGAACTACCGGTAGTATTTGGCGACAGTCACCTGACATCAGCACATTTAGCTCACCGAACAGAGAGTTATTCCCACATAATATGTCTTGAAGTGTTCGGTCTATGGCTTCAAAGAGGTGTTTGTGGCCCAACGATACTTCATCAATGATGAGCAGCTCTGTTTGGCGTAACAAAGTGCAACTGGCATCATGGGGACTCACACATCACATGGGCTGTTCGATCACACTAAGGGGTATTTGAATCTGCTGTGTAATGTTCTGCCATTTGAGAGCAGAGTTGCTGCAATGCCTGACAGAGTTGTAGCAAGGGCGATCTTCTTAAAGGAACGGACAGCCCCAAGAATCAGGTTTATAGTGTGGTTTTCCCTGTCCCTCCTCTTGCCTCCAGGGCAAATATCTTGCTTTGCTTCTCTACAACTGACTGTATCACAACATTATGCACTACTCTTTGTTCTTCATTAAGCTTTGGGTACTCTTGACTCACCTTCTCTCTCAGGTTGAAGTTCATTCAAAATGTCTGACCGTAAAATATGTGACAGTCTCAGCCTATCCTGAAGTTCTGTGGCAGAGTCAGGAAAAAAAGTCCGTGCAAACTTTGGTTCAGTTCCAGCAGTGGGAAGAAGATTTCCTAGTCGGCGGTACGGCTTGCCCTGGATTTTGAAGGTTGGATTGAAGCCCTTTTTCAGCTTGTTCACTGCACCCAATTGAAGCCAGGGCGAGAGCATTATTGTATGACCTACAGTGTAGTAAGAAAGAGCTGCAGCTCTGCGCTACATAGTAATACTTTATTAATTCCAGAGGAGGTGGGTATTGAGGTTGCCATGTTCACATGGGGGACAAATATATATAACGATGAACTCAATGATCTTTGATGAGAGTCAAGAGATGATTTTTATTTTATCTTGCTCATGACACATGCCACAAGTGTTGGGCGGAAGTCATCTCAACAATAATAAAGAATAAGTTTCCAATAATAAAGAGTGTACGGTACTAGTGTAAGCAAGATGAATAATTCTAAGAATAATCATACAAAAAGATAATACATACTATTAATAATATATTCAGTTAATTCCCCTCGACTATAATAAACAATGTGATTTTTATTCTAACAGTGGGGGAGATACAGAAATACATACCTTTCCATTTTGACAGCAGAATGTATTTCTCTCTTCTCTCCATCTTATGGCATTGCAATGATCACAGACGACATTGAATTCACCACGGTCATGTGTCCCTAATCTTCGGTCAACTTCAGTTTCACTAAACGACCGTACGTTGCACGCTATGGCCAACATTGACCCATTCTTTCTTGGCCTAGCACGCTCAAGGTCTTCCTCCAGATACTGACTATTAGAACGTAAATTCTGTTTGACAGTCGCCTTTCTCCGTTTCCTCTCGCTTTCACCTCTGTTTCGTGGGGTTAAACAAACTCTACGTTTAAGGGGCATATTACTATATTATTAACTTTATTAACTAATATTCCATGGGCCAATAGAAGCAGCTGAAATTGAACAATGTGGCATACACACACTACAAAGCAGAAACCGCACTTCTGATCTTGCGAACTACTCACACGCTCAACAAAGCTCGGGACCGAAACAGAAGTAGTCCCAGTAAAATATGAAATAGCTAAAGGTAGAGTGAAAACATCCGAGTGCTTCGATTTACTGGAAAAACCATTAAACCTGAAAAATCAAAAGGCAGTTTACGAACTTTGAAAATATGCCCACGAAACCCTTTGGGGCAATTCTTGTCTGAATCATATTTTTGTAGATTTTATGGGCACCTGTGTAAAAAGTTTTTACTGACCCCACAAACGCGCTTAGCTCCATTATAATAAGATTATTATTATTATTATTATTATTATTATTATTATTATTATTATTATTATTATTATTATTATTATC